ACCCCCCATCTAAAACTCTCCTCCTCTATGATCCCTGTGGGCAGTTAACCACAAGACACAGTTGTGAATACAATGTGTGCCGAACAATGACAAGAAATCAGAAAAAAAAAACAAAACATAACAGTCCATAAAGTTCAATACAAAATATCTTGTATAATACTGGTTTTGTGATAAAATAATCCTTTAATCCCCCCAAAATAAAAGTGCAATTCCAATACTAAATATTACACAAATCATTTGAAACATTTTCATCCAGTTGCTTTGAGGAAGGCATTAAAACCAGAACAAAACAGATGTGTATCAGACTGAACTGATCAGATCAAATAAAAACATGATAGAAAGTGTGCTAAAGGAGCTACAGTACTAAAGCAGCAAAGCGATCACCAGGATGCTTTGTCAGCAGAGTTTATTCTTTAAGCCTGCTTTAATGTTCTCGGTAATGAGAGAGTTTGAAAGTTTCTATCAGAGGTCAAAGATCCACCATTCAAAGAATGCACATACTAGAACCACTGCCGTTCTCTCAAGGATAGCAAAGGAAAAGAGTTAGACACTAGTTAGAGTCTGTAGACTTAAGAGGGAAAGAACAAATGAATAATTAAAAGCATTAAAACATCATTTACAAGAAAAATCAGTGTTAATGTAAACAAATGTCACAAATATTGCTACATCAGCAGACAGTTTCAAACAGGAAATCTGTTCCCACATGACATCTTTTACATCTTTAACATTCCCTCAGTGATGCTAAAGGCCAGAGCACATCAACCAACCAAACACCAGCAAACACAAGCGCTCGGTTAGTGTGCCAAACCTGTGTTTGAATGTCGGGAGAATCTAGAATGTTCTCCTCAATTCACACTGTTCTAGAATGTTCTCCCCATTCACCTTGTCCTAGAATCTTCTCCCTAGTCACACTGTTTTAGAATCTTCTCCCTAGCCACACTGTTCTAGAATTTACTTCTGTTCTAGAATGTTCTCCCCATTCACACTGTCCTAGAATCTTCTCCCCAGTCACACTGTTCTAGCATTTTACTTCCCATTCACACTGTTCTAGAATGTTTTCCCCCAGTCACACTCTTCTAGAATGTTCTCCCTAGTTAAACTGTTCTAGAATCTTCTCCCTCATTTACAATATTTCAGAATTTTCTTCACATTCACACTGTTCTACAATGTTCTCCTCCATTCAGTTTTAGAATGTTCTCCCTAGTCAGACTGTTGCACAATGTTCTCTCCCCATTCACACTGTTCTAGAATTCTCTCCACATTCACACTGTTCTAGAAATTTGTGCACTCACACTGTCAAAGAATGTTCTCTCCCCATTTACACTGTTCCAGAATGTTCTCTCTCATTCACTGTTCTCAAATGTTCTTCTCCATTTATGCGGTTCTAGACTGTTATCTCCATCCACGCTGTTTCAGAATGTTCTCTCCATTCACACTGTCCTAGAATGATCTCTCCAGTGTTCTCTCGCATTCACTCTGGTTTATTGTTTTTTTCTTTTTGTGGACGTTCTAAAGTAAAACACCAGAACGTTGGTGTTTGCTGCAGAATGTTTGGTCAGTGTGCTCTGGCCTTAAGTCGATATGCAGCAAAAAGAACAACAGCTCCTATATGTGCTGATCTCAAGCCACTCGGAGGTTGGCTGTGTCCTTCGTCAACTTTTGGTACAATTTCAATGTGCAGTTGTATGGAGAGAGTTCAACAGGCCTCTCCACGCTCTGACCACAAATGCGTTCTTTCATAGCAAATGTTTTCACAAGCTTTAGTGGACAAGCTTTGCAGAACACTGGCAAAAATCCCATTCAGTCTAATGAGCAACTGTAGCAGACGACTAACTCAGAATGAGTCATTTTCAAATGATACTTATTGATCAAGATGGATCGGATGTGGTTTTTATGTGATGTAATCAATCTAACAGCATGGTGCCAAATTTGTCTCCACAACAGTGTTGCATTTTAAACTGGACACTCAGCATCACCTGTCCAGAAATTCCATGTCAGTGTAAGCTTGGCTAGCAGCCTAGAATCAAGGCTAAGGACAGGACAGAATCAGACTGGACTCCATTTTGGGAATCTGTTCATGTCTGAGGTGACCAGATTTCACATGAGCCGTTCAGCTACTAAATGTTCCTGTTACTATGATAGTGACCGCAGGCACACTTACATGCACACTCGCCCTCCCACCTCTCTCTCTCTCTCTCTATTTGTCAGTTGTACACACTCCAGACTCCAACCGCCAGTCACAGATGGCTCCAAAATGGCTCAAATTGCTGGAGGATCAGGCCAATTCATTAAGTGTCTGTTTCCCAGCTGGCCAGCAGACCGCCGGGGAGAGGTCTGGAGGATTCTGTGCTCGTTTAACTGCCCTGACTCAAGCCTTCAGCAAGCTTAGAGACACATAACTACCAACAGCAATTGCATACATTTTATTAAGCATGTCCTTAACCCTCACATACTTCAGGTAAACTCTAAAAAGATGTGATGTGTATTTTAACTCTTCTCAGTAATGATTCACAGTCTAATTGCCTACTTCACTGATGAATGCTCAGTTACTGAGTCAGCGATCCTTCACTGTCTCCACTGCTGCTACATCTATATTGTATTATCTTATCTGTATCTTACTGTCTATGCTATTTGGACATTTACTGAAGTTGGCAGTACACTTGAAAGGAAAATTATGTTTAGGCATCTTTTTGGATAAAACAATGTGTTTTGATTTTGTAGAGCTGTGTCATTCATTGAGACCTCCTGGCTGTAATTGGTCCACAGTGTGTCAAACAGTAGTTTGATTTTGTTCAGGTCTTTTGTCGCTTGAAGTGTCCTGCCAGCCAGAATGAATCCACAGTAAAGCTTCCACATCACTGTGCCAGTATAGTCCACCTTACTGTATGCTGTCCTTCCGGAATCACCCTTATATAGAACTTTCTGATGCTAATGTTCTCTTTGACCAACATTTTAACCACATATCTGTTTACATTAAAATGTACATTTCCTAACAGTTCATTACAAACTCTGGTGCCGTAGCATCTCTCTACTCGCAGCTGTTTTCACACTTTCTCGAATGATTTTGTGCTGCAGGTGAAGGAATGTGAGTGACTGAAGGCTGAGGATCCACTAGTTGAGTCCTTTGAAAGTCTCAGAAACAAAGCGTGCATTTCTCAGCCGCGCTGGAAGGATTCTACAAAAACGTGACAGCCTTCAGTGACGTAACATCTGAGAAACGCAGACTTCCACAGCTGCGTTCTTGGCTTTGAGACACAGTTTATAATACTGCATGAAAGTCAAAGAACACCCGTCATTTATTTAATTTCCATTCAAAACAGGCTTTAAGAGAAGGTTATTCACTTTTCAGAAGATATTAGATATCTTCTATATTACATATTAGATCTAATATATTGGATAGAATATCTAACATATCAGATATTAGGAGATTAGATATAACATAATCCACTTGCATAAGGACGGGAAAAGTATTAAAATGATTAAAATCTACAGAGAAAAGGGACTCTTAATAACGTGCAAGACCTGGTGGACCATCAAAACTCTCACCATCAGATAAACCGTACGTAAAGCTTTCATCTTTGAGAGACAGGAGAAAATCAAGCTCCACTCTTCCTTCAGATCTGAAAAATCCACAGGTGTTTCTGTCCACCCTTCCACTGTGAGAAGACAACTCAACACAATGAGTCTAAAATGATGTGTAGCTGACAAGAAGCCCTTACTGAGAAATGGAAATAGTCAAAAAAGTTATAAAGAAGCTGCTGGTGTTCTCAGAACAATGGACTGACCACCTCAGAGTCCAGACCTCAGCATCACTGAATGTGTTTGGGATTACATGGATCATGAAAAGCAGAAAATACAACCAATTTCTAAAATTGAACTTTGGAGACAAGGAAAAATATCCCTGAAGATTTCTTTAAAAAACTAAAAGCAACTCTCCCAAAAAGAATGGAAGCTGTAAAGGGAGAATGGACACACTAAATACTTTAAAATTTACTAAATACAATAAATACTTAGAAATTTTGACATTACATTTATTCATTGAGGCTTCTGTGTAATTTTCTGTTAAATATTTGTCTTCCTTTTTTCCTGACACTGAAAAATTTGAACTTAACTCTTACTTTTTGACTGGAAATGAAAAAAGAAGGGTGGTCTCTGACTTACACGGTACTAAATATATCTAGAATAGCACAGATGTACAATCTCTACATTTTTAAAAATAATCATACCAAATCATGCTTACTCCAACATCTAGAACTCTACTTCACATTCCTTGCAAATAATTACATCCCCTTCTCTCTTTCCAACCATAAGGCCTTAAATCACTCCAAACTTATTATTCATGGATTTATGAGCCAACAGTTGAAGTAAGAGCATATTAGATGAACAAGGTTTGAATTTTTTCACAAAAATAGATTTAAGTGCATTCAGTATTCGTTCACCTCTAAAGCACTGCAGTGCTGCCTCATAACTGCTGACTCTGCTCAGCTGGCCTGTGGAGATATCATACCTAAGCTATGAGGTCAAAAACTGACACTTCAGGTCCCAGTGGAGGCCAACGACTGTCTGGCATCCACTGTAGCACACCAAGAACCTGATTTCACTTCCTATTGGCTTTGTTTCCTCTAAGCTTGAACAAAACTCATTTAAAATGGTTTGTTTTGTAGATATGAGGCCAAGAGGAAAGAGAAGAGTTTGAACGCAAATAATGTGGGAAACATATTCAAAGTTTGGCTAGAAGTTTGGCTTCTCTGGCATCTTCTGCAGCGATTACAGATAGTGTACAAGTCAGCAGAGTATACATTCTTCACACAAAATACCGAACAAGGACTCTCAAACACATCTGGACAGAGGATTAATGAACATATTCATTAATGGCTAAAACCTGAGTTATTCAAAGTAGTTCATTAGAAAGACCACAACGATAAACATCAAAAATAAATTATGTACCACCGACGTTTAGGTTATTTGCATGACTATAGCTACACTATATATTAATGAGATGTATGTACATCTATATTTTAGTGGCATTATTTCTTCTTATGTCTACAATGTACTTTCGAAAAGGGGTTCGAAAAACAGCCTGATAGTAGACATAAGACTGGTTTTTGTCGTAAGCACATCTGTCTTCGATAGAGCTCAGTGAAATAGATATATATTACATAGAAAAACGGAACAGTCTGCCTCCATTCGTCTACGTTGCCGCCGAAGACAGATTTCGCACCGCATTGTCCTTTTTTTTGCTTACTCGAACAGGAAATGCTGTTTTTGGCACACCTCCGCTCTTGTCTCTGTGCTCTGCCGTGACTCCGTGTCCTGCCGGAATGGCTCAGGGTCTGGAGTGAAGAGCTGAAAAACATAAAGGCTAACTCACATAACCAGCAGCACTTTGTCCTCCTCCTATCTCTCCAGTTTCTGTCCTCCTTTATGAGAGCTGGTGGGATGAGGTGTTTCTCAGGGGGACGCTGATCTGCGCTGGGTCACAACAGGTCCTCATAGTCCAGCAGCTTCGAGTGCTGTCGCGTCTTCCACAGCCGATAGAGGCGGAAGTCAAAATACATCTCAATCATTTCCTTTCCTGAGACACAGAGAGAGGAAAGAAAATGATATGCCTCAAAGTTTAGATGATTAAATATGACCCTACTTTCTCTGTCTCCTTCTGTGTCAGGCACATATGGCACACTATTTACTGCACTAAGTAGAGCTGAATGCTAACTGTGCAAGTTAACTGGATACGCTAGAAGTTGAGAAAGAGTGACAGGGAGAAGAAAATGGAAAAGGAGAGCTTTTAACACTACAAATTAAAACTGGAAAAAGTCTACTATTTCAATTTCTTAATAAGGGGCGTGTCCAATTAATTTTTCCTGTATTTTACTTTTCCCCTGAGGTCCACTTATGACTGTTATGTGGATTTATGTAGCAAAACTAGTCATGATTCAGTTTTACAAGACCATTTCCAACTTCTTTTTTCCCCTTAGAATTAGGCACTGTAATGTTAGCTTTACCACATGGCCCTACCCCCATCTGTTTTACTCTATGTTAAGTTTATCGTGAGTGCATGGAAGCGAAAATAAATCCTGACGTGCTTTGGAACTTCACTGCGATTCGCTGCAGTAAAACAACCAAGCTCAAGTGACTGGGTTTTACCCTAGAGCAGCTATGCTAGCTATATTTGCATACATCTAATAAAAGGACAGAACTAGTTTTCAAAAGATGTTGGGTTACTTAACATTATTTTATTTTATGTGATTAGTAAATAATATATAATCTATAATCGACAATCACAATGTTTAAATCGTGCTAATTTGTAAAAAATATGTTAATTTTTAACCCCTTTTTTTTTACAGATTTTCCACCATTTTATTATCAACATTACATATAAAATACCGAAGACACTTGTGAATTTGCTGGTCATTTTGGATGGTAAATTAAATGGCTATATTTGCATTGTTAACATCATGATCCCTGGTTCCTATCAACACCACAGTAAAGAGATCCCAGTGAATAAGTTTCTCTACAAGGCACCTCAATTTCAGCTTTGACCCAATACAGACGACATGAACTGTGACATGAATGTTTACACACTACATCAAATTCTTTCATCTAAAACAGCAAAATGATGTTTTCCTTGTGCACTTTCAATACTGCATTTTAAATGTCTTTTACGTAGACCATATGATGTGTATTTAAATACATATTGCATATTTCCCCTGAGTGACATGAATAGTTCACAAATGCACAAATGCATATAATAATCACCATTTGGAATTCACACAGTCTAAAAACAGTGATAGTAGTGGAGGGGACAGAGAAAAGCCTGTCTCTGTGCGCGTATGAATGCAGAATGGTGCAGTGTGCAGGGCTGTTAGCCTCACCCTGTGCGGACAGCTCCAGCGGTGACTCAAAGGTGACCGAGTAAGGCCTCATCAGGTTCTTCAGCTTCTGGAACAGCTGTTGGCACACGATAAGCGCAGACACCAATTAATCCTCTCCCACCTTCTCCTTTAGTCTGAGTAGAATCAAGTGCTAGCATGAATCTCTCTCTCTCTCTCTCTCTCTCTCTCTCTCTCCCACTCTCTCTCTCTCCAGAGCAGCTCCATTTACGAGAACGGATAATTCTGTCACAATAACAGGAGGCTTTCTCTTTACAGCATGGCCTAAAGTTCATGCCTCTAAAATGGTTGGCTGGGATGGAGAACTGGATGAACCTTCAAAGGCATCAATTACGCTTGCATTCAGGCATGGATTTGAGTGAATCTGGAACCTGGACCATTTTTAAGTCCCTGGCTTAGAAATTATTTGGCAGGTTAAGAACATTAAGAGGTCAGGATTGACACTGCTATTGAAATGTAATGTATACATTTTTAACCAAATGTACTGGGCAATTTGAGTCTAAATGGGAGACATTCTAATCTGGCTTGGTTCATAATTTTACATTAAAGGAGAACGCCACCAATGTTTCTAAAATTCTACATAATTAAATGGCTGAGATGTGAACAGAGTCATTCAGAGTGGTATGGTGTGAAATGCTCTGTTCTAGAGAAATTTACCAATTCACAATTGCTCACAGTGGTGGTGAAAGGAACCAGATGTCAGAAGAGTTTAATGTCTCTGAAAGCTCCCTCACAGAAAGTTATTACATGACGTGGTTAGATATTTGCTGCCTGATGTCTGAGGCATTATTTAATGATAGTTTTGTGAGAAAGTTTTGTCCTAAAATGTATTTTAATCCATTTATTTCAATCCATTTATGGCAGAGGGGCAACCACGGGCCACACTTTTCACCAAAGAAAACTTCTTTTTCAGATTTATGACTATTTTACAATCATCAACATTACATATAAAACTCAGGAGACACATGAAGGTTCACTGTTGGTTTTTGATAGTAAATAAAATGACTATTTGTGACCCCTGGTTCCTATCACCACCACTGTAAAGAAATCAGAGTGGTTAAGTTTCTCTACAATGAGCCATTTCACATCAAACCACCTCGAATGACTCTGTTTATATCTCAAGGACTGGATTATTGAGAAATTTAGAAAAAATGGTGGAATTTCACTTTAAGGGAAGGAGTAAATTTACATAATTTTCCCCTTTCCCCAAATGTAGTCTGTCATCTAAGACTGGCTTTACACAGTGAAACATTCCTGTAACTTTAGTTAATTGAAAGCCGCATAAATCTACTGCCACTCAAAACACTGATAACACACCACATGATAATATCATATGACATCAATTCAAGCTGCTTATAGGTCAATAGACAAAAAATAAAACAGAAAACAGCTTACTGGACAGTGGAAAATGAGATCTTGACTGACTTTATTAGGTTTGCTGTTTCTAATTTTGTCAGTTTTCAGAACCATGACAACAAGCAAGTTTCTCAAAGCTAATGTTTCTGTAACCAGATGTGTTTACTAGCCAGCTAACTCTAAACAGCTGTTTAAACGGCTGCTTGTGTCAGCATTTATTTTACTTTAGACTGCTGCTATCCTACATTATTCTACATTATTCATTCTCCTCTTCTGATGCCCACAGAAGGGGAGATAGAGATGCAGTTCTCAATGAATGTGGAGTGCTTCTAGGACAAGATGAGTGAGGCATGTGGTACAATGGCAATGGCTCTTAAAACATAAATTTTTGTAAAAGGTTTACATATAAAGTAAAGAACCAGATATGGATAAAAGACAGCTGAAAAAATTAACATTATATTACAGCTATAAAAATACCACAAATGTGTAAATAACACCACAAGAATCACTTTGTATAGCAAGAACAATACAGTGCACCAAAAATATGAGCTAATTTGGCTAAATAGTGGAGTAATTGAATGTGCTGCATGCAACTTTGACTGTTTTGCATGCAACTTTGCAACTTTGTTGCATGCTACTTTCTTTTCGAATTGCTTTGTGTAACTGTCAAGTTGCAAAGAAATTATGTTGCATGGAATTCATATCATGCAACTACTTGCATGAAAGTTTCACCATGTAAAGCCAGCCTAAGACATGTTTGGCATTTTTAGTTTTTTTTTAGTTTTGTACTAGAGCTACGAGGCTAATGTAGCTAACAAGTAATGGAGGTTTGTAGCCAATTAGCATAATACAATCTGCTTGCCTAAATTATCACACTTGTAAAAAAAAGCCATATAGAGTTTTTAATTGTTTCAAATGCTTCTGACTCTGTATGACTCTGTATACTGTTCTCTATAAAAATGAACAAAAGTATGTCACAAAGCTATTAACAGTAATAGCAGCCTGAATTTTGTCTAGAGCTGCATCCCATTCCACATTGTCCCTAAGCAGTACCTTTATATTCCCTACACACTTGAGCACAGGATGTGGATTACGGGAACTACAGTTGATAAATACCCTTATTTGGAACATATGCTTCCATTTTTTACACTACAGACTTAACTGTGAAAGTCATGAACATACTAATATGTTTGGGTTCTGGGAAATAAAATTATGAATAAAACACTGAACCAAAATGGCCATGGAGATGGTCAAGGAGAGCGTAATATAACAAACAGATATGCACAGCCTACTAAGTGGAGTAATTTTATTCATCTATACAGAGATATCAGATGACATCTGTTAGATCTCACTCCATAAGCATCCAGCCTCGTATTTCCAGTGCAAAACTACGAAAGTAAACTTCTGACACCAACACTTTGAGGCAGGTAATTGTGCGTCAATAAATGTCAATAGTGTTCATTTGATTTTTTACCAAACCATCACTTTAAATAGGCGAAGGTTGCTTACTGAAGTCTTATAGAAGACATCTGCACAAGAAAGGAGCCTGTGGCTAAAATCAAAGAGTGGAAATCAAATGGACAGTTCCATTTCCCATAGTGCAGTTGTAATGCTGAAGGTCGAAACTTCCCATCAAATCGCAGCCCACATTGACAACCTCACACTAGTACATCACACACGTCAATCACACTCGGTTCCCAAGAACAGCCGCGCCTCATGGGCAATGACGCACAGGAAAGTTAATCGTTGCCTTGGCCATTTGCGCCACGGCCATCTCCATAGAAACGCATCCGCGGGATACCAGGCTAGTACTAAAATGTCCTTGGGGCAAAACCTCAGGTCTCACAGGCTAATACCAAGTATTAGCAGGTAAAAGTGCAAGCTATGTCTAGGTGGTGGAGGAAGAGGAAGTCTTTAAGTGCTGTCTTCTCTGTCTGATTAAAGACTTCACCTTCTTAGAACAGAAAACATTTATGTTTACTAATTATTATAATTGTTATTATCTTCCTTCCTTGTTTAATGCTTCTATCTTCTTCATTTTCTATTCCTGTATGCTGTTTCTTTGTTTCCCTCCTTGTAAAGCACTCTGAGCTGCATTATATATGCATAATATATGAGCTGTATTGTATTATGCATAATACATGAAAAGTACCACATAAATATTATTATTATTATTGTCATTATTACTTTTATTGTCTGTGTGCTGTGCAGCCGACAGTGGTTTGTGAGCACGCTATAGCTGCAGTTAGACAGGAGAGCTTCTGGATTACATAACCGACAAGGCACAGTCTGTCAAACACGACAGGCCTGGACTGAGAGGTGAGACAAAAAAAGAAAGAGTGACAGAGTTCAGAGAGTTCAGAAAGAGAGAGAGAGAGAGAGAGCAAGAGAGAGAGCGAGAGAGAGAGAGAGTAGGGGATAAACATGGCTACTTAGTGCTACACCAGGCCTCAGGAGGTCCAAACACTGAGCCATGACTCAAGATGAGACAATGCATTGCCACAGGCAGACAGAAAGTGGACGTGAGGCTGTCCCTGTGTTCGTCTTTATCTCAGTGATCGTACAGCTAAGGTACAAATCCTAAATTCCAAAGCAGAACTACAGAGAACGTCCACACTGTAAGACCAAACATGTGACGTTTATGAGAGCTCTCTTCTTCAACACTGCTGTTCATTTAATGTTGCAATGAAGATTTCCTCAGTTTGTTCTCAAACAGGGGGACGACTCAACTGATCACTGTGACATGTTTAAAAAGTCTCTTCAAGGCCTTTAAGGTCAGAGGACACCAACCGGATAAACACCAACAAACACAACCGTTTGATTCATGTGCAATATCTGTGTGTGACTGCTGGGAGATTCAATCTCGATTCACACTGTTCCAGAATGTTCTCCTCCATACACACTGTTCAGTAATGTTCTCCCCATTCCCACTTTTCCACAGTGTCCTCCTCATTTAATCTGTTGTACAACGTGTTCCAGTTTCGGTCACACAGTTCAAGAATGTTCCCTGTCATTTACACTATTCCAGAATGTTCTCTATAGTTCACACTGTTCTAGAATGTTCTCTATCATTGACGCTGTCCTAGAACGCTCTCTATCACTCACGCTGTTCAAGAATGTTCCCTGTCATTTACATTATTCCAGAATGTTCTCTATTGTTCACACTGTTCCAGAATGTTCTCTATCACTCACGCTGTTCAAGAATGTTCCCTGTCATTTACATTATTCCAGAATGTTCTCTATTGTTCACGCTGTTCCAGAATGTTCTCTATCATTCACGCTGTTCCAGAATGTTCTGTCATTCACGCTGTTCCAGAATGTTCTCTGTCATTCACGCTGTTTCTGAATGTTCTCTATCATTCACAGTCCTAGAATGTTCTCAATCATTCACACTGTCCTACAATGTTCTCTATCATTCACACTGTCCTAGAATGTTCTCTATCATTCATGCTGTTCCAGAATGTTCTCTATCATTCACACTGTTCCAGAATGTTCTCTATCATTCACAGTCCTAGAATGTTCTCAATCATTCACGCTGTTCCAGAATGTTCTCTATCATTCATGCTGTTCCAGAATGTTCTCTATCATTGACACTGTTCTAGAATGTTCTCTATCATTCACATTGTTCTAGAATGTTCTCTATCATTCACACTGTTCCAGAATGTTCTCTTTTACTGACACTGCTCCAGAATGTTCTCTATTATTCATTCTGGTCCAGAATGTTCTCTGTCATTCACATTATTCCAGAATGTTTTCTATGATTCACTGTTCTAGAAGGTCCTACCATATGCACACTGTTCTAGAATGATATCCCCCCACTTCCCTCTTCACATTGCTCTAGAATGTCCTACCACATTCATGCTTTTCTGGATTGTCCCATGTTTATAATGTTCTATAATGTTCTCCCCTTGGTCATGCTGTTTTAGAAGTCCACTTCCCTCTTTACACTGTTCTATAATGTTCTACCACATTTATGCTTTTCTGGATTGTCCTACATTTATATTGTTCTAATGTTCTCCCCCATTCACATTACATTCGGTTGATCAGTTCTTTTTCTAAACATTCTACAACTAATTCCAACCTGAGAATGTTGCTGTTGCTGTATGTTGGTGTTAGCTGGGTCTGTGTGCTCTAGTCTTAAACATTTTTATTTACAGTGTTTCGCTGTTTCTCCACAGAACGCAATCTGAATCACGTACCTTCTCTCCATTGGGATTCCCCAGCACATAGCAGCCCATGATGTGGATCAGGTTGGGCTCAGGGTTCAGCTTACTCATAAATCGGCTTAGCCTTTTCCAGAACCTAAACACACACACACACACAAGCACACAAAAAGAGCGAGGAAAACAGTTACTCTGTAGGGGAGAAAGCCTGTGTAGCCCAATTTGTGCTGCATTAGGGAGGCAGAGAGAAGCATTGATTTTACTCACTGGCTCATGTCCTCCTCTTTCTCTACCTTGGCAAAAGTGGCCACTTTATTCTTCAGGAGATACAGATGCCCTGGACCACCCTAACAGAGAAAAAGAGAGAGAGTCTCATGCATACAACTTGCGCAAGGGGTCTTTCAAAGACTTGACCATATTAAATACAAAAGAGTAAAACACACTGTACCCAAACTGAGGTGATAGCTTTGTGATTTTTGTTTTCTGTGCTGTAAATTCACCTGACAGAAGATGAGCATGCGCCAGATCTTGCAGCCTCTCCTGTAAGAGGTCAGTCTCTTCTCAATCTCCTCTACAGAGACAAGAGGGCACAGGATCAGCACTAATAGGTACTCTCACAGAACTTTCATGATTACTGCTTGCAAATCTTGTTTTTACATTAATCCTTAGAAGCCGTAGTCACTGCTGGCGCAAATGGAATAATGCAGTAATTCAATACTAATTATTTTTTACTTGTAGCTCTTGAAACAAGAGGAGAAATTCTGGTGAAAGTGCAGATTCTAAACTTTCAAGACAAGACATACCATATATGTGTTTGTAAGCAGAAGAGGAAATATTTTGTTATGATTTGAATTTGATGAAAAGTTTGTAGTCTTGTTTTGTGGAAAGAAAAAATGCCCTTAATATTTTTGCTGTTCTGTCATTTGCTGACATCAAAACAAATAAAAAAAAGTTTGAAGTGCGGACTCCATGCTGTTGATGCAAAATATAAATGTAATATATAAATATAAATGTAAATGTCACACATTTTGTAATTAAAGCTGCACTACGTAAGTTTTTTTTTGTTAAAACTGAAAGAAGTAGCATCACTGAGTCAGGAGAAAAAACACACTAAAATATGGTGTAAGCATGTTGTGCTGTGAGTCGCCCTGTAAGGCCTGAAATAATAATTAAAAAATCTGAGGTTATGGATTTCCAGGAGCTTTTCAGGCCTCATCATACATCTTGTTTATGTATACTTATGAGGAAGGTCCAGCTCAACCATTAGGTATCAAATGCAAAATCAACACTATACTGATGAAGATATGATGACAATAGTAGATAATTCACAGTAGATAATTCAGTTCTCTATGGACACTATATCAACATGCTAGCAATCATCAGATTCATCCTCTTGGAAAGGGGTCCAAAGCACAACTGACATTAGAAAATGTTCTTCTGCACATTGCCTGCAATTACACATTTTCATCAGAGAGGTCTCCAAATCCCCAAAACTTACATAGTGCAGCTTTAAATATGCAAATTAGTAATTACATTATAATAGCAGAGATAAAGCAAAGCAATAACTCGACTTCTAAAGGTTAAAGACTCTCAAACTACAGTACATAACTGTGATTTCCAACAGTATAACAAAATCTTCTCTTTTAGGCAACATGCAAGTCAGTGCAAAGATGAATACAATGCCATTCCACATAAAACAATCAGGCACAAAAATTCACTCAAAGACAAAAAACAACAAAACAGAATTTGGTTCACAGACATAACACAGATACATACACAAAGCACACACCACTACCTACCCAATATATCATCAAATGTAGCATGCTCATGATCCTAGAGGCAAAACCAGTAATGCAGAGTGAATAATAATAAAAAATGAACAACTACAGTCAGCTCAGAAGGACATCTGTAACACTGCATTTATGTGGTGTTCAATATGCAAGGTAAAAAAGTACATTTCTGTCACATTTTTTATCATTTTCTAATGAAATTTCATTGAACAGTTGAGAAGGTCATGCTATATAGAGGACATGAATGGCTAGTATTACCATATGAAAACCTGCTTCCTTTGTGTACAGTTATAATGTGGTTCTGTGCAGCATTCAACACAGTATCATAGGGCATTCTGCACTGTAGGCTTACATAAAGTATGGGTATAATGGAAGGGTCATCCCTCCGAATGATGTTCGGGACATACTCTGCCTTGGGGACTTTGGAAGATATCAACTGAAAAAAAAGAAGGAGAAAATTCATCAAAATATTCAATCAAAACATTTATCAAAACAGTGATTGTGTCTAATCTCTAAATTTCATGTGAAAAGGGGGGTTCTCTATTGAAAACAATAGTGTCCGAAAAACTGACCCATTAGGGGTCGAGTTCCCAGATCCACATTTAGACTCAGGCCTGTTTCATGCCACAATTCCAAAACGAGCCTCCCAAGAGTATTTTACAGTTTTTCTCAGTTGTTTAAACACTTCTGTTCATTCAAAAATCATATTCTCAAAATAGTTAACACACAACACTAAACAGAGGCTTGGTGGCCAAATTAACACTTTTTCTTTGCAAAATGGTCCAACTTCCACAAAACACTAAACATATGACACAAAAGCAAACTTTTCCATTAAACACTTCAACTAACAATCAGGAGAGTAAATTCCTTCGATGACTTACTAAACAACAACCAAACACCACAAAATATGTGGTTTTAGCCTTCATTAGTGCTGTATGTCTACTGTTCTAGCTGCTCATACTTTACTGAGAATTTTAGAATGTATATCAGAATGTGGAACCTATTCTTCACCAGAGATACATTTCAGTGTGATGTACTGTATAAGCTCTGAAAAAGACAGAACACAAAAAAAAATTCACCCAAAATATTCACAAACAAATATATATAGTCTCTTCCTCTTTTTTTTGATACTGCTGAAACACAGGTGTCCAAATGATGCCAAACTCTAGGCCTGAATATATCAGTACAGGATATATCAGAGGTCAGAGGAGCCAAAACAGAAAGCCTCGCCATTCATACAATACAGCCCTGAAATTTACAGTGAAATTCCGAAGAAGGATCAAACCCAAAGGATCAAACCCAAATCTAAGTCGACACACTGTAGCATTCACTGTACACATTTTTAAAAACCTCAATAGTCTGACATTTTATAAATCTGTTACACACTCTCTACTGACAAACAGTGTCTCCGTAGGTGCATCTGTCATTTTGTTAATCTGTTTTAATGTTAGTCTTACCTTTTACCATACAGACACTTAAAACCCCTATTGTCTAAAACCCCTTTTATCAATGCTTACATTAACAACTAATGATGACTCATTTCTGAGTTAACAGTTGTGCTCTATGTAGTTCACACAGGTGCTGAAGATATTTATAACTATGAGAGTATTTTCAGTTGGCTGTCACTACATTTTCCTTTTGTTTTGCACAGTTATCTAATGAACTTTTGTGCTTTTCTTTGAGATCTGTGTTCACTGGTCTGTAAAAGTATGTGAAAAATGACTGAGAGCAGTGTGTTAACACATTTTCAAAAGGATAAGAAAGTGACAATGAAGAGTAAGTCGATCCCAGTTTCATTACATTTTTTGAGTGATCGAGGAAAACTGTAATACTGTTTGTCAAACATAATATCTCATAAAAAACATATCATTAATAATTTTGCTTCCAAAAATAAAGAATTCAGAAATTATTTAAATTACTTAAAAATACACATTACATATTTATGTAATTTGATCTGTTTTATAAAATGCATCATATATAAAATAATATAATATAATATAATATAATAGGACCAACAAATGTTCAGAAATGGCCCTGTTTGGGCTAAAAAATGATCACTGACATTGCAACTTAGTCCAAAACTATGCTCAATCAGTGTACTGAGAACTCTTTAAATCCTGTATACTTTGAGCTGCAAAAATGTATAAAATAGATAGTTCTGTTTTTAAAATCGATGTAATGCACAGCCTCTGGTGGCTTATTGGTTTAACATATCACTGCTGTTAGGACAAAATCATGTATCTCCATTTTTTTGTTTTTCAGTTTTTGGCATAATCTGAAAATACCTGTTGCCCTTTATATTGTGTGTACATTTCATGAAGAATAGATCCAAAGGAATGACCAAAAATGACACAGGAAAAAAGTCTGGTTCCATACATTAAAAGCAAAGAAGGTTTTTTACTTCTCCTGTAAAGTCATAATTTCGGAGATACAAGGTTTTGTTCCAACAACAGTGACATACTGGGGGAATCTACATACCTTTACATAAAAATAGAATATCACACAAATACAAAATACTGGGTGTCATAGAGTAAGTGACAAAAATCATCAGTTACTAATGAGATTGGTCTTCAACACAGGCTACATCCAGTAGGAACTAACAAAACTGACCATGACTTTAGGAGGGACGAAATCATCTCCTTCACACGCTGCTCTCTCCATCTCTCTCTCTTCCTCCCAGTCCATATCATCACAGCCTCCGTCTTCCAGAGTGGCACAGGACGCCTGCAGGTCACCACCTACAGCACAACACAACACCACACAGAAGAGCACAGCAGGGCCCGGTCAGCCACACACAGGGATAAAAAAGAAAGATAGGGTGGAGGAGTGGAAGAGAGAGAGAACTACAATAGCTGAAGATTAGACAGATATAGGAACGACACAGAAGTACTGAAGTGAAGCACAGAGAGAGATTTACGAGAAAGTCCTTTTGGAAGCACAAAATTGCTGCCAGCATTAGAGAGAGAAATCAGAGAGAGAGAGTTAGAGAGAGGGGGGGTGTAAGAGAGAATAAGTGAGAGAGTGAGATAGGGAGAGCATGTAGAGAGATAGAGTGAGAGAGTGAGATAGATGGAGAGTGTGAGACAGAGAGAGTAATGGAGAGTTAGATAGAGAGAGGCTAACATTCAGATAATGAGACCAAAGTCACAATAAGCAAACAGAGCGTATCCCCCAAACAGTGTAGGTTCCACAGACCAGACAAAACAAAAAGCAAAAAGACAAACTACACACACAGGGTGTCACATGCTGACACAGAAATCTACAGTGCACACACACACACACGCGCACACACACACACACACACACACACACACACACACACACAAACACTCCAGCTGGGACAGTTACTCACAGAGAGAGAGAGAGAGAGGGACACATATTCGGAGACAGACCCTCACTCAGAGGAAGACAGACAGACAGGGTCAGAGTCAACAGCAGAGGAAGCACATCGCTGTGTGTGAGTATGTGTGTGTGTGTGTGTGTGTGTGTATGTGCATCTTTGCGTGCATGTTTTTTTGTAGGAGGTATGAATGGGTGTGCTTACAAAGGGGAAGTCCACCCATTTTTTAAAAAATTCTACATAATTGAACCATTGAATTGTAAACAAACTAATTCAGAGTGGTTTAATGTAAAACGGTGCATTACAGAGAAAAGGCTCTGATTTCTTTACAGCAGATAGGAACCAGGGGTTACAAAAATAGCCATTTTATTTACTATCCAAAATGTTCTGGTATCACTTTACAATTGATTTAAAAATAGTTTTATTAATTGTTATTAATTAGCTCATAAAAACCTTTAAAATGATTAATAAGCAGTTATAACAAATAACATATAAAAGTATTGGTATTGATGGGTATCATATGGGTAAATATCAGTAGAAATTGGTGGATCTGATATCGGAAGGAATGTGTGTATTTCTTTCTGTGGGGTAGTGGCGTGTTTAGCCAACTTTTAGAAATCTCTTTTTTTGATTTACTTTTTATTTTTGCCTGATTTTCTCTCCAATGTAGAGCCAATACTTACAATCATCTCAGACAGAGATGGTCATCTCGAGTGAGGTGCTCAGCTTGTTTTAAAGCTTACTATAGTTTTAAAATATTGCATTGTTGCCAGTATCAACCAATATCAGCCTTAAGGTTTCAATATTGCTATAGAAAAAGAAAAAGTCATATTGCGCCATCTCAATTATATAGTACATACTTCTTAAAAAAGCATGGTTTGGTTTCCCATTAAGGCTGAATGATTTGGGGAAAATATCAACATGTGATGTTTCTGAGCAATACTGCAATTGTGATTTAAATGCGATTATTTTCTATAAATTAAGCTCAAGGCCTTTTTTTTCCACCAAGAAGACTTGCACATCCATTTTTTCAGACTTGAGGCATTAGTGCTAAGTTTGCAGTGTCAGATCAAAAGCTCTGCATTTATAGGCTAAATTTCCCCACCTATAACTTGTTAAGACTTGTTCAGCTCTATTTCCCATCATACTGGCTCTTCAAAAAAGTACAACTCTATCTACTTTTTACCCATAACGTGTCTGCCCCAAAGTCAGACCCACTTGTGTGTATTTTGTCCATTGAGCTAAATTTAGATAGCGAGAGTGTACTCGGCCTGTGACCACCAAGTGTGAGAGTGTGTCTAGTGAGTGTCTATGTAGTGTGCATGATATCAGTCTGTGTGTGTGGCAGTGTACAGGGGTGTGTTCACGGCTTGACTCACTGTCTTTTGAGTCTTGGAGCGAGTCTTGCTTGACCGGGGTGGGGTCGCTCCAGGAGCGGTTGAAGCTCTTCGCCCTGCGCTCTGCAAAGGCTATTGGAGGTGGAGAGACAGTCACTCTCTCTCTTTCTCTCTCTCTCTCTGTTTCCATCACACACACTCTCCAACACTCCTCTCACACTGTGCCTGCTGAACAGCTGTCACACACTCCACAGGGACGTCTGGACCACCAACTGCACGCTGCACGACACCCCACACACACACACACATACACACATTTCCCACCTTCTATCTATCCTGCATTAATATACACACAGCTGTGTCTTCTCTCTCTCTTACACAGTATGCCCCCAAAACGTAGTCTCTAACCATTATCCTAATGATCCCTTGGAGAAAAAGGACCCCCCCGGAATCCCTCCTACGCTCACTACCTGCACACTCACACTCACACACACACACACACACACACACACACACACACACACACAAACACACACAAGTGCACATACTTAATCATGCACACACAAACACATTCCAATTACAGAACACATGCACATGACACTTATACAACCACAACAGCATGCATGACACCAACACAAACCAAAACACAAGACCACACTGACAAGAAACAACAACCACTAATGAAGTCATTCACACTCTCATTAACACTCTGACTCACTCTGAGCTTTCATTCTTCTGCTGCCCACCATCCTAAGGTGCTTCCTGAAATTCCTGTACGAGAGTTCATTTGAAGGAAAGAGGCAGAGACGGAAAGATGGGAGGGGGAGAAAAGGGAGCAAAAATGGCAGAGGGGAGAAGAGAGAGAGGGCAATGTTGGTGGGGGGATAAAAGAAAGAAAATGATGTAGGTAGAAAGCAAAAGGGAGAAAAAGAGTCAAAGTCAGGTCAAATCTGATAATCTGATTGAAACAGTTATAATCAGAGAAGTGACTGGTGCTTGTGTCCAGAGAGGACAATGGCTAAGTGTTGGAGGTCACCCTCTGCAGTACACTCTGCTTTCGCCGTAAGAGCGGCCTGTTCTGCTGCTAATCAGACGTTTTCATTCATATGCCCCTCAGACAGACACTCTCGACAGAGCTCTTCAGTAGTTAAATACAGCCTCTCTCAATGGAGGCTTCAAATCTCATTTCATGTCTCTTAAAGGACGGCCATCAGGTCTCAACGAGATAGTCTGTGGAAAAATGAAATTGACATAATTTCCCCTTCCTCCAAATGCAGTCAATTAGCCAAGACATGTGTCCAAATTTTGCTGCTTTAGTTTTGTACTGGGGTCTGAGGCTAATGTCGCTAACAACTAATGGAAGCTTATACATCACCAGTTAGTATTGCACAAATTGCTTGCCTAAACTCACCACACACCTGATTTCACTGGATCCTCTGAGGTATGAGATCAGTAAAGAGTCCATATTCAAAATATCACTACATGCAAGCTAACACTGCACTGACCTGGCATCATCAAACTGCCAACCTCACCAAAAATCCCCTACAAACTAGCAAGTTTTGTCAAATGTGGTAGCTTTGTAGTTGCTTTGGCAGTAGCAGCCAACAGTTTGAGTGGCTGGTGGTTTAATAGACTTACTTTCATTCAATGTCATTTCAAGGAGGAGCAGTGGTAGCTTGTGCATGTGGCATTATTCGTAATTCTTACTCGTAATCCAGTAGATGCTCAGGGGGAGAGGGTGGGGGTAAAGTATGCCGTACAAAACTTATCGGGGTTGGAACATTTTGTTTGCCACAGGATGTGATAGCGGTGATTTTCGAAAACACCATTTGTTTTTCCCATAGACAAAACCTGCTTAGACCCGGAGTTCTTCAGTAGTTAAATACAACCTCACTTAATGAAAAATCAAATGTAAGCAAATGTAGTTGGTCAGTCAAGACATGTTTGGTGTCCAAAGTTTGTTGTCTTAGTTGCTACAAGGTTGTAGCTAATTTGGCTTATAAGTAACGGAAGCTTATTCCACACCAAACTTGCATAATGTAGCATGCTCAAGTTTTGGGATGTAAGTTTTAGGTTATGCATGCTTGGTTTGTTTCGCTATGGGCGCTATCATAGAAGGTGCGGCTAGGAACTGCCCCAGGGGGTATGTGTGTGTGATATGTGACATGTTAGCTGAGAACAAGGGAGACATGAGCTGGGTAGCAAACAAGCTGTTAGAGAGCAAAACTTTGCTTATGTACAGCATAGCTGTGGCCAACAACAGCTGGAAAATAAAGCAGTTGTGTAAAAGCAGTGCCTCTTTTAATAGTGGTGAACGCTACAATATGCTGGTTTTGCTGATGATCAGCCATGCTTATTTAACCACATAAAATAGAAAAAAATGTGGACACAATTCAGGCTTTACTGGCTTTTATTGATATTTTTTAGCTATGCAACAGAAGTTTGTACATTTTATGTCAAGCAGTGTCAGAAGCCTATTTGAGTTTACTAAACAACTCAATAAAGTTTGAGATAAGGGTGTGATGATTTATGCATGCAGTCTTGGCTAACTGACTACATTTGAGGCAATGAGAATACTGTGTACATTTGATTTTTCACCAAACTAGTCTTTTAATACAGAGCTCAAATCTCATTTCCTGTCCCTTAAGGGACTGCCACTGGGTCTCTTTAGGCACTGTCATGTTCACTCAGGTCTGTGCACTGAAGCTAACATGTGTCTTTCCCTTTCCCTCAGTGCTTTGTAAGTGATGTGCTGAGAGATATGCATCAGCTCTGGCTCATGATCATCATTCCTTCACAGAAGCACCTGCCATACTGCCCCCCATGCACTACGCTCATAACTACCACAGAGCAGGGAGGGAGAGGGAGAGGGAGGAGAAAATAAAACAGAGACACATCCTTCTGGCCGTCTTCAGCTCTCTCCAGACAAATGAAACCAGCGTCCTACGCCAAATGCCCGGCGTAGATACACAGCAAAAACACGTCCTTTAGTTAGAGAACAGCTGCACAGTTCTGTCGTGCTGGGATTTTACCTCACTGTTTTATTCATTGGCTTCTGTCACTGCTGTACTTCAAAATGGACTCATTCTACCAGTATGACACTGTGGTAAAGATAGCTAGCAGTTAGCATTTCAGGTTCCGCTGGTGCGATAAATTACACCTGCAAGTAATAGTGTGATTTGTTATTGCTAATTTGTGAATTCAGCTGACGCCATCATCCACTCTGAAATACATCAATATTTCATATTTCTAAACTGTATATCTTTAAAGGTTGAACACTCAGAAGAATGAAACCAGGCCTAAACTGACTGATTTATGAGAGATTTCACAGTACTGTATTTGTCTGGTGTGGTTTGTAAGACTATGAACTTGAAAAGTGAAATCTTGACATTGTTGACTTTGAAAGGCAACACAAAGTCCATGAAAAGTGACTTGATGTGAGCTCAATTTGTGCAAATTTTCACTAATAGATTTTGCCATATTTGACTGTCTATAGCTATAATCCATTGCTATAGACCTCTGACATTTTTTACTCAAACATCACTGTATCTAATAAATTACTAGATTGGTAAAGAATCGAAATATGAATTCTGCTACATGCAAGCTAAGACTGCTACACATTGAAATAAGACTGCCAATCTCACCAAAACATCCCACACAATCCAGCAAGCTTTGTCTAGTGTGGTAAGTTAAGTTGCTTTAGCAGTGGTAGCATACAGTTTGCGTAGCTGGTTGAAGTTTAATAGTGGACTTACTTGATTTGATGTCATTTCTATGTGCATCATTCATATTTTGACTGCTAAATCACCATATTCAGAGGATCCATTGACATTCAAAGGTGAACTATATGCAGGACAAAATTTATTGAGTTTAGAACTTTTTTGTTTACAACAGTCGCAATTTTCAAAAATGCTACTCATTTTTCCTTTAGAGAAAACTTACTTAGACCCAGAGTTCCTAATATGGGCATATAATATGGGCTTCTGAGCTCTATGTGAAATGATAGCGTTACAATCGGGGGGGCAGCGCTGACAAATTAATGCATATAACTATAAAAGATGGTTGACTAAAGGGCTAAAAGCAACAGGCCTTATGAATCACTGGCAGACAAAACTAAGAATGTGAAAATTTTCACAAGCAAAGTGAATCTGGTCAAATTTTGAGCAAAGTTATACACTTTAGAAAACAAGGCCTGAAGGGTAATATAGGCATATATCAGAGTTCACACATTAAGACAAACAAAATGCATTATCGTACATTATCGTATTAAGCGTAAGTTACTGCACCAGAGATTTTTATCTAGAGAATTCTGAATGGCTAATTGCAAGCTTTCTTTACCATGGTAGTGTGGTGTCACAGTCACATAATTACAGTGTAGTGACTTGAGGCTAATTGGCAAACGGTGACAGAGTGACGGGGTGAAAAAGTGAATCCGGGTCACATGCGCTGAGTGGGCAGACAGCTGTGCAGTCCTGAGCTCACGTCAGAGAGAGAGAACGAGAGAGAGACTCCCTCTCTTCTTTGTCCTTTTTGCCGCTCTCGCCCACAGACGCGTACTGCCTGCCTAATGAGGGGATGAAAGATAGGAGGAGGGAGAGAGGACGATAGAAAGAGAGAAAGAGAGAGAGAGAAGGGAAGCACCCTTCGCCCCCGCAGCCACCAGAGGATGAGTCAGTGCCTTTCTCAGCCATATCGCCTCGCTTATCCTCGCTAACTCTTTCATGACTATGTTCCATTAATGTTGCATGTCTTGTCTACGTTCCATTAACACGCAAGTTAACGGCTCCCCCTCCTTCTTTACTTTTCTACTAGAGGTGGACCATATGATGATATGTTATCGTTATTGTATTAATTATGTCACAATATGGTTTTCTGAGTATATCGTGGGCATTATGTACTTCTAAAACACAGAACAGCTGCACAGTAGCCACATCAGGGCTGCTGTTTTGGATGGGCATAACAAATTCAGGAGTGTGAATTTCATTCCTGTGGCTGGTGGCTGCAATAATGTAGTAACGTTAATAGTAGCTACGAGGCATCATAAGCAAAAAACTAAACCTGAGATACACAAAACTCATAATTGGTCATAAAAGAAAATAAAGATCAGAACTCAATTCAGAGAAAGAAGCAATAATGTCCAACAAAAAATCAATGTTCTTGTGATCTTTTTCTGATATTTATTTTTATATTTGTCGTTTGGATTAAATGAGCCACATTTAGAGTTGGATAACTGTTTGTAGTTTTTGTATTAATGTAATGTTATGGATAGGCCATTCATGCTTCTAGTCCATATGCAGTAGTGATGGTCTTGTGAGGAGAATTTCTTTCTCAGATGAGCTTAGCAAATGTGTCATACCTATGATTACTGGTTAAACTGGAATTTGGTTGATATAAAAAATAGAATTTCCAATGTTATATAATTTTGTAAGCTTTTATTTGTGGTTTTTGATTTATTAGTAAATGCACAACACTACTGCTATCCTATTTATATTATTCTTCTTTTGTGTCTGCCAATTATCTTTAAAACACACCCCTCAGTTTTAAAGATGCCAACACTGAACCGACTCCAGAATGTTCTGATTGTGAAAGATTTGCTTGTGTGATTTTGAGTGGACTTACAGTTTCCAATTAGCAGTCATTCAAATTCTACTTTTTTCCCCAAATGGACTGAATGAATGGACTGTTCAACAATCTGCATTTGAAAATTCTTCTTATGTGTACCTCTTATTCCACCACAATCATTGTACACTACATGGCCAAAAGCAGCACCTCCAAAAGTAGTCACCATAATACAAGTACAATAGCAACAACATAAAACAACGACATAAAACACAATATCAACCACGTAGCAACTGAAACACCACATCAATAACCTACCAACAGCCTAGCAAGCACTTTACCAACATCCTCGGATTGCCACGTGCAATACCATAGCAAATGCTTAGCAACCCAACCCCCATGATACCATTGAAACCAACTAACAACACCCTTGCAACCACCTGGAACATCATAACAACCATTTAGCAACACTCTAACAATGATAGGGAATTGCTTAAACTGCACAATCACTTTGCATGTTCCTGAGGAATTGCACTTTTCTAGTTTGTTAAAAAACGTTACTACATTTGAGTATATTTGAGTACAGAAAGTACATCTGAGCAGTCATTTTAGTTATTTTTGGACCAGTGACAAAAGTTGGTGGGCCTAGGCCAGCTGGGCCGAATCATACCATTGCAACTGCAGCTACATGCATCAAAAAAAGACAGATTTCTTATAAACAGCCATTGTTCATTGTGAAGTAACTGCATAAACTGCACAGTAACAAGCAACCAATTGTAAATTAAGCCATTATCTTATTTCATTAATATAGTTTTGCACTTTTCCTCTGTATAATGTTTTCATTCACCTACTATGATGTGGCACTGTCCCAATCACCAATCCTCATTCACCACTATCTTTATTCCCTCTCATTCACTTCTTTTCCCCATATTCTGTGTATCTGAAGTTTTGCGGCCCCTAGAGCTCTCCTTTATTATTCAGCGGCACATCCCTGTCACACTGACCTTCCCTAGCAGCAGCCAGGCATTATGGGATATGTCCCACTGACTGCTCCAGAATGTCCAATCACAATGTTCGCACTATGGACAATGATTACCACCTCCCTGGGTCTAACACCTCTGGTTACGCAATCATCCTACAACTGTCCCTCATCTCTCCATTTCTCTCCTCGCTCTTTCCTTTGCCTCCTCTGTCCCCTGAATGACTGATTGCTGTGTGTCATTCCTCTCTCCTCGGAGGGGGGGTTCACTCCTGCCTAACAATGTAGATGCAAATCACCTGTGGCAGAGCAATGAGAATTCATTCAGCCTCCTTCAATTACATTTCCCTCATCTTCAGGAACTGCCTCTGATGGTATTTATTCACATAATGCAAGTCTCTCTAAAGGACACGGAGCACATCCAATATTGCCAGCTACGCTTGATCACTCACCCACCAAGAACTAGTTTACTTTTAACCACTTTCATTTCATATCTAATCTTGCTCCCTCAAATCTGTCCAGAAAGAGTATCTCAGTGATTGGACTATATTTACAACAGTCACAGCTTTATCATCCAAAAGTACTGATAAGCTCTGAGTTTTACCTAAATAAATAAAAAACAAGGGGAGACAGAAGAAAAAAAAACATGCATTTCCTTTTCTATCTCATAATTCATTCATGGCTCAAAAACACAAAAGGGAAAAGCGCTCATGGATGGGGGAAAAAGCAATTTCAGGGTATGCTGGAACCATGGAAGACACTCTGAGGCATTACATTTCTGACAAAGCGTGACAATGAGTTCTTTTAACTTTTAGTTAAGAATCTATGTGATCAGACATTGCAATGAATATATCTAATGACATCTCACCTCCTGCAGTAACAAAGATGACTTAGATAGAAATAAGCTTACTGGATGAGTCACGCTGACTAAAACTACATGCCAGCACTGCCAGAATGCTGCAGCATTACAGACAGAGCTAGAGAGATAGACAGCCTGACTGGACACAGAATACATCTGGACGTCTTCATGTCCTTTATTTTCTGGATAACATGGAGCAGAAGTAATGCCAGTGATAGGAATGATTTACTAAAGACTCTGGACACTAATGGCATGGTGGAGCCATGCAACATGAAGATGGCATGAGGTTAGCTTTGTGACAATCACCATATATAATGATTAACTGTCTTAACCATGCTCTGCTAACAAATACATTCTTTCACTAACAAGCTTCATAGGACACTGGCAAAAACCTTTTCAACTTCTCTTGAAAAAATTACATAAAATTTTGCTTTAAAAGAGAAATTACAGTGCACAACTCAGTTTTGTCAAAATACCTTAATTTAGAGTGCATTTTTAATTTCAGGTGATATTTATTTTATATGGATGTGAAGGGTCACAATGTTAGAACAGACTGGGTGGCCTTTTTAGTTGTGTACTCAAAAGCACAATATTTGCGTGGTATCAAATCCATTGTCATGTCCAATGTGCATAGTTGTAATGAGCTACAATGATGTAGTCTAGCTCAGTAGTGTAGAAGCTTATCAAGCTTCTTTCTACACTACTGAGTAACGGATTCATACTGGAAATGTTATGTAGTAACAGTAAACAATGATAGCTACAATTCTGCATTGTAAATCTTGTCCAAACTAGTAGAAGTTGTTATAAAAGAATGCAATTCTGGGTGGATGGAAAGGTCAGTTGTTCTGCTGGACCTAGGGTAAACACAAGCCATGTGCTGGATCTGGCTTCTTAACCCATAGATAAGCCACAGTGAGTGGGCTCAGGATTTGGCTGTGGTGCGTATAGGAGTTTACAACCATTCGGTAACAGTAGGTTAACAGTGATTCATTCAAGGCAGAACATCATCCATGTTTTCTATCAAAGATGGGCTGAAAGTGGTTTCACTTTAGCAAAAAGTAACCCTCTGGACCTTCTAGGCCTTCAGATTACATCTGTAATTTTTAGTTAATTTTTTTTTAATTATACTTACTTATAATTATATTTACAGTCTGCAAGCATTACAATACTACTGTTGTTTCATTGTTAAGTTTTGGATGGAAACAAATGGGTTAAATTTATCAAACGCTGAGTGGAAAACTGGCCAACCAGGAATTGTTTGCCCTGTGGTATCTAGGTACATATACCTAAATGAACTCTCCTATTGTTTAGAACTTTAAAAGCTGAAGATAAGGCTGTGTTAGGTTATCAAGTGCATGATTATGATGTAACAGAGGAATCAAATTTTTACATTTTGATTTCCAATCGGAAAAGCAAATTTTATCAGAAAAAAGGTCACTCTAAGCCTTCTGGAAGCTGTAGATATGTCACTGACTGTGAATACAAGCAACAGCTTAATCAATGGGTGTTAGAAATGGAAAACAGTGTCAGTAGCTCTATACCACGACTCTAGTGAAAGAGTCACTGTGAAACTGCTATGAGGTAAATTATATGCTAATAAATCTGTCACAAGTTTGAACAATGTCTTTTAGAACTTTCAAATGTCTGTGTTTAATCTAGAACGGCCTAAATAAGTTCATGCTTAGCGCTAACAAACTACTAGAATCCCATAGGGACACCAGCAGAAATTAGCATTACTGTAGAGGTGGGTTTTTTCCTCATTTTTGACCAAGTTTTGGCAATTATGGCTTAAACTGAGGACTTAGCTCAAATAGTCACAGTCCTCTGCACTCTACAAAGCCTGATTTTAGAAACCAAAATATATTCATTACGTCTTATAATAATTTATATTATATATATATATATATATATATATATATATATATAATAAAAGACAACACTGACAATGACATTTAACCTTGTTCATTAGAACCAATGGCTCTCTTTATTCTACTAATCAGGACTCAAGGCTGGCCAATTCCTTCTTCAACACTACATCAAACAAGGATACACAGTGTCATTGATGTAAAACATCATTTTATGAAACACCAAAAGATTAATGAGCGCTATTAGCGCCCCCTCATGGAAAATCTTTAGCCTGCTGAGTGAGTGAGGTCTATGAGGTGGCTAACACCTAAAGATTACTGCAGAGCCTTCCAAATTTTTTTACATACAGTATATAGAAAGGTTTCTCTCCATTAGCTTTTTAGGAGATCTGATTTAATTCAGAATGAAAATTGAAGATGCATGGCATAAAAGCTGGCAGTTCTCATAAATTTAACTTAGTGCTCTAAATCACACCAGAGTCTCCTTGGTAACTTCAAACAGTCAGCCAGGAGTAACGGAGGAGGAGGGAGGGGTTACAGGGTGCAGAACAGGCGGCTGGGCGGACAGAGGGAGAAGCTAGTGTTTTACTGGCAAGAAAAATTATGAAAGATTTTACTCACGATATCCTGCAGAATAACGAGGAAGGGCACACATGGAGCAGAGAGACAGAGAGAGAGAGAGAGAGAGAGAGAGAGAGAGAGAGAGAGAGAGAGAGAAAGTCACTTTGATTACAACTGTGCTTTGGAGTGATTAAGTGTGTTTCTCCTATGTGGGTGTGTGTGTGGTCTGCTCGCTGTGTACTTGTCAACTTCCTGAGTCACTGCGACACTGTGTGCGTGAGAATGTCACTAAAGAGCTGAGTGTGTGTGGCTGCAGCACCTGCAGGACCATCTGTCCCTGAGGTCACTGTACATTTCAACTGAAAAGAGTGTCCAAGTATACTTGTACTAAAGTGCCTGGATGTCAGTGAATTACTCACGCTTGTATGGTTGTGGTAGCCGTCTGGAAGGTGAACATGTTCTCTTTGGGGTACCAGTGCCCGTCATCTGTCAGGGAAAAAAGTGTGATAGTTCGTATTAACATGTTTCTGCTAATGTGAGTTACTTTGTATTTAAATGCTTTATAAGTGTGTTGTTTTGCACACAAAACACTCACAGGTCCACTGCACAGAAGGCAAGAGAGGATCACAGAGACACAGAGGAAAAGAGAGAGAGAGACACAAAAAATACAGACCACGGCACAACCAACAGATGACCCCCTCCCCCTGCCAGGGGTTAAATTAGGCCAGAGCTTCAGCACCTTTGGCTTATGTGAACAGCAAGCGGTGCTGAGCTCTGGTACTCAGGTTTCCATTCAATCTATTTTAAGCAATGGATCAGCACCAAAAATGACCCCAGTTGTAGTCAATCACCCAACACATGCCTGATGTCCAAAGTTTGCTTCTGTAGTTTTGCACTTGGTCTATGAGGCTAATGTAGCTAACATAAAACTACAAGCAAGTCCATGTGAACTGTGAGGCAAGTGTGATGATGCTAAGCATGCAGTTTGCACTTGTTAGCCATATTAGCCTCACAGCTCTGATGCAAAACTAAAGACAGAAACTTCAGACACCATGTTTTGTCTGAGCTACTATATTTGCGGTAAGGTGAAAACTATGTTAACCTATTTTTTGCCTGAAACATTTCTTTGGTGTGTAAACCATGATAACAGGCAATTCTAAATCATTCTATCACAGGTAGAATGTTTGTTTAGGCAAATAGAATTGTTGTCACTGAGGTAGCTAAATCTAAAACTCATATATTAGGCCTACTTTTTAAATTTAGATATCCAATTAATGTAATGATGTTCACTATTGTGCCAACTAGCAATACACTCAAAAGATACAACTGCATGTAACTAATTAGTGAAGTATATATGAAGCTTGATACTAAAAATGAGCTTATTTAATCATGTTTCCATGATGTCAGTGCTTAGAACTCTATATAACAACACGAACGGTTTTCTTTTAGGTGCATTTTGCCATTTATTAATGCCCTCAAGGGCACACCTCACCTAGCTATTGCTAGATATAGTTACATATATTTATATTACCACATTTAATCACAGTTATCAATGCTAAGTACTCCATATAACGACTATATAGAGATAGCACTGATGCAATTGGTCTGATATCAACAGATCCAATCCAATTCTATAACAAATTTAGTCTGAAATATCACAGAACAGTATGGTACAAAGTAAGCCAGGTCACATGATAATGATGGTAGCGACATGTCCCTAAACCTAAATCTAAAGAGAAGTGCTTTAATTAAAAATAACACATTTTAAAGCTTAGTAGCTCATACTCATACTACAAAAAAATGGTATTGATATGAAAAAAGAAAAAATGGTAATGTGTCATCTCTAATAATACATAACATATTGTCTGCAAAGAAGTAGGACACCTTACAAATCCCAATTTAACCCCTGTTGCACCACTCCCCTTTGAGCTCCTCTCTCTCTCTCCCCCTCTCTCTCTGTCCCCTCTCACCTCTGTCCAGCCCAGTCACCCGGTCCACACTGCACATCCGCTCTAGCGGCCGCCGGGGCTGCTTGCCTGCCTCTCGTGCGCTGCTCTCCAGGTCCAGCGAGCCCTGGCTGCGGGATGGTGCCCCGGAACAGGCCTCGCAGGCCAGGCCGCACTCCTTGGCCTCGCCCCAGCCACGGATGTTGTGGGCACTGACGGAGCTGTGGAGCGGCTGGGACAGGTGGTGGTGGTGGTGATGGTGCTGTTGTTGGGACGGTCCTGCTCCAGAGCTACTGGGCCCTGGGTTGGTTCCTCCCCCACCGGTGCCGCCATGGTGGTGGTGATGGTTGCCATGGTGATGGCTGCCACCACCTCCTCCACCATGACGGTGGTGATGTTGCTGGGTGGGTGAGGATGACGTGGAGGAGGAGGCTGAGGGTTGGCCCAAGGCTTGGGATGATGATGGAGGGGCATCCCGCGCCCCCCTCAGCACCTCCAGCTCCAGGCTCTCCTTGCTGGCCAGCATGGCACTCTCACCACTGATGGTGTAGACGCGGGACGGCTGCAGGGAGCACTCCACGCACTTCTGCTGCTCCTCCTCGGCTGAGAAGCTGCGCTCCAGCGACAGGCGGCTTTTGGAGGAGGAGGAGAGGGAGGTGGAGGAGGAGGGCGGAGGTGGAGGCGGAGGCTGCAGGAGGCCCAGTGTCGGGGTTAATCAGGCTGGGATCAGCACTGCTGCTGCTACTGCTGCTGGAGGGGTCCTGCAGAGGATAGTTTTGGTGGTGGTTGTTGTTCTGAGTGCACACGCTGTCTGGGGAGTCAGAGTCGTGGCCAATGAGGGTGTCAGACAGTAAGTGATCTACAGTGATAACAGAGATAGATACAGAGAAAAATACGAGACAGAGACAAAAAGAAAATCAAAGACAAATAAAAAGAAAAAAGACAAATGAGGCAACATTCACAGCATGGGAGTACATCTCTGACATCACAACAGTTAGATTAGATTATGGTTCAATGCATCATGAAACCACAAATTTTGCTATACTTTTTTTTTATAACTAAAAAACATAGAAAAATCATTCCAAGCAATTCCATAGGCACAGTACTGTGTAAAAGTCAGCCTTTATTTCTTTAATTTACAGTCAAGACAGCAATTAAGAACAAGAAATTAATTTTTCAGCGTCATCAGAGAGCAGTAAACATATTTAGCAAATTAAACATGATACTGTTTTTCAGTATTTAGTGTCCACCCTTTGTCTTTGTAACAGCTTCTTTTCAGTAGATTTGTATTGCTGCAGGGACATTTTTCCACATCTTCAAAGTTCAGTCTTAGAATCTGGGTGCACTTTTGTTCTCATAATCCAGATAATCCCAAACACATTCAATGATGTTGAAGTCTGGACTTTGAAGTGGCCAGTCCATTGTGACTTTTTTTATATATTTTCTCAGTAATGGCTTCTTGACATCTACATTTTCAGAAAAAAAGGTGCTAAACTTTCACTGGGGTGGTATGTTAAAGGGTTCTTCTTCAGTACCTTTAGTTAGGGAACATAATTGTACCATATTTCATTGAAGTTATATATTTTTAAGTTGTATTGACTCCACACAACCTGTTTTGTCTCCAGGCTTTTTATTATATTGTTCTGTTTTAAAACATTAGGTTATGAAAAGGCACAAATATGCATCCTTTCTCAATGGAAAACTGATTAAGGTACATGGATTTTAAAACTACTGCTGTACCTTTGGGGGTACACTGTTTGTACCTTAATGAATGAAAAAGGTACCCATACAATATCTTTTCATCTGATAGTATACACATCCTTTCAGACCCACTTTTTTTGTTCAGATTTTTTTCTCTCTTTTTCTTTAATTCTTTTTTGAACTCCAGTTTTGAAACTCATGCTTTTTCACTTATTTTCCCTTGACGGTCCTTATGAAAGTGGATCATCTTATATCTAATCTCCTCAGAAATATCTCCTGATAAAGAATAACTTGTAGTTAGTGCCTGTTTTGACTGAAAATAAAATAAATAAGAAATGTCTGATTTTTACACAATACTGTGTGCAGCCTTTAAACTGAAAAGTCAGCACTGGTATTGGATCAGAACTTGGTATTTATGTTCAGGTATTAGTATAAGATCTGGGAAAGAAAAAGTGAGATCAGTGCATCTCTACTGAATACACAAATGTGACTTGAGAAAATATGTGGTGGAACACAGACAAAAAACAATTCGATTTAATATGAACACGATTTTAAACGCATTTATTTTCAGTAATATTGGCAATGAGAAAATATTGGATTTGGTGGATTTTTAAGTTTAAGAATGTTATTTTGGACAAAGAAATGAATGTTTACTTTACTGTAAACCGAATTTATTATAACTGCTAAGAATCTATTCTAACATGCCGAACTGTTGCAGTTGGATTGTCACTTTCAGATACATTTTTTATAACCCTAAATTACAGAGAAGTAGCAATTGTACTGAGATGTGACTGCCTCAGGGGCTCCACTTAAAGCAGCTGAAGTGAGGAGAAAGAAGAGAACGAGGGAGGAGGAGAGAAGGGAAAGTCTGAGCTGACCTGATCCGTTCCGGCTCTCGGGATGAGTGTGAAGATACTCTCCAAATGCTCGGGCTGCTCTGCAGAGAGACACAAAGACAAACTCAGATCACACACAACAGCCAAACACGCAGCAGAAGAGGAGGCCTCTACCTGCACCTGATTTGCTGAGAGCAATCAATTACTAACAAATCTAATATTACCCTCCACCACATGTTCACCAGCCATTTACAGTACTGTGAAAAGTCAGACAACATCCTTCCTTAATCTTATTTACAGTCAAAACTGCCATTAAGTACAAGTTATTCATTTTCCAGCTTCAGTTTTTTGTTTCCTTTTCTTGGTAAAAGCTTCTTGACACATTCTTTCAGACTCATAGTGTTGAGTTGTCTTCTCACAGTGGAAGGATGGACAGAAACACCTGTGGATTTTTCCATATCTGAAGCAAGAGTGAAGCTTAATTTTCTCCTCTCTCTAATAGATGAAAGCTTTAAGTTCTGGTGACGGTACGGTGGTCTACTAGGTCTTCTCTGTAACTTTTAAAGGTGACACAGAATGGAAAACTGTGTTTACACTGGCATAGTTGCATAAGAAGAGTTCGGTACAAGGAACTGACACACTGTGAACCTCAAACACTGCTGTCTCCTCCTTCAAATGCAAATTCTGCATTTGCAAAAGAGAGTGGTAAAACGGGCCACTTCTAAAATCCTAAACTGTTACGTAACAGTCTTGGCTCATTAATATTTATGCCCCCAAAATTTACATACACCAGCCCACGTTTTAGCCCAGCAGGAAACAACGACAACGGAGCAACAGCAATGAAAAAGACAGACAGAAATATGTCATTCCAGGCTATAAAGGCGATGCTGGCACTTGTCATTCTCACCAGACCTGGCCATGGGCATGGCTGATGTTCATCTTTAAGCGAGACTGAAGTTTCTTCCTATTCACCAGCTTCTTATTGCCTTCTGTTGCTCCTTAAATGCTACAGCTTTTAGAGGTGCCAGAATGTAACGACGGCACCATTTAAGGTGGAACAGAAAATTCGCAAAACAAGCTAGCTCCCACATCTTTAACAGGATGCCGGGCAACTTTAATTGAAAACTGATACTTTGCTCTGCACATTTTACTCCAAACAGTTTCTCAAACCTTGGACAATATCAAGCAGCTTCACTCAGCGTTTGACACTGAAGACACTGAAGAGAGGGGCAGTTTTTACATTATTAGCATCCCAACCCCAACTGCAACCTGCAAGTAGCCATGCTGTGTGATTTTATTCACCTTTGATGATCTTAAATTGAAGGTTTCATAGCGAACAAACAACTTTAATTCACTTGGTATTGCTGTCGAGACCGAAGGCAAGTAGCTTGTATAGGTAAAGTTAGCTACTAGCTAACTAAACAGTATGATGACCGAGTGTATTTGCACAGACTATTTGGACATGTTGCTTCTGTGCGAGCCACCACGGTGCCGCACTGTAAACCAGCAGAGCTTATCAAATTATTCATGAGCCCCCCAAAAAAGAGGAAAAGGCTTGTTTCACTCTAGGGCCAAATCATACAGTGGGAAACAGGAGTGTAAAAACACATCTGGGCATGTTTCACCCCAACCAAAGCCAGATACCTTCTATGTAGACATTAGAGAACACACACACACACACACACACACATCTTCTAAGCCGCTTATCCTTCTGGGTCGCGGGGGGAGCTAGAGCCTATCCCAGCAGTCATTGGGTGGAAGGCAGGATACACCCTGGACAGGTCACCAGTCCATCACAGGGCACATTAGAGAACACAGAAATTTAAAATACTGAATAAATGCGTTCCATAGCACTATTAATCATGTATTGAAAGCTCTTATTTACACTTATTTTCTTTGTCTTCCCCTTTCCTTACGCAATCTTATATCAAATCTCCTCAGAAATATCTCCTTAACTGAATGGCTGTTTTGACTGGACATTAAATGAGCAACTGTTGGTCTCTGACTTTTGCACAGTACTGTAAACCAATCCATTAGATTGTTTTGAATTTGCCTATCTTGATTAGGACAAATGCAACTTGAATTGAGAGCTCATTAATTATAAACAATGCGAGTCATGAACTCAGCCTTACTGTCTCATCCTTATTGTACTTGCTTAGTCTAATTCTCATCAAGGCTGCTGCAGTCATACAAACATCTCAGGCGGCAATTCTTTTAGACTCTTAAAGTCACCTGCTAAGCTGACACCTGCCCAAGGCATGAAGCGCTTAAATGGGGATAATTTTAACACACTGCAGGCGGCAGCAGTCTACACCATCTTAGTGAAGGTTTCCAGAGCTGGACTTGCTGATCTTTAAAGCTCTGCTCTGCAGTGGGGGAGAGGGAGCAGGGGGCACATGTTAGCTGAAAACAGCGTGGTGGTGGTGGGGGAGGGGGGGGGGCACTGCCAGCTTTGTAGATGCGTGCCACCCACAGATTCAGATGTAATGTGTTTATCTCTCCACTCCAGGCTTGTGAATAAGGAAAAGTGGTGGAAAGAGAGAGAGAGAGAGAGAGAGAGAGAGAGAGAGAGAGAGAGCACAGAGAGCACAGACAACGAACATAATCCACTTTGATAACCTTTAGCCCCCACCCTCATATTCAAATGAATGTCAATGCACTGCTAATTATTTATGAGTCAAAGATGAGAGAAAGAGAAAGAAAAAAAGAAACACTGTTACAATAAAAGGATAAAAAAACTATAATGTGCTTTGCCATGCTAGATGTGGAGTACTGACCCTGAAAATTGGTGTGTGACCCTGAGACCAACGGACAGTTCAATTATAAACACTTGAAAGAACCAGATCCTGCTGAGTTGCTTAATCTACATTTGCCATACACATACCCTTACTGCAACAGGTGTAACAATATACTACTGCAATTCAGAGATGTTGTACAGTTTGAAATGATTTCAAATGTCATATAATGTGCACTTGTTAATTCAAGATGTTCAAGAATGAATTCTTTAAAGGGGCATTTTCACCAATTCTGCCGATTTTTTAAAATTTTCTGCAGTTTAATCACTGAGATGTAAACAAAGTCATTCTTGTGTTTTGATGTGAAATTGTTAATTGTAGAGAAAATTAAAGACTCACATTTCTTTACAGGGCGGTGACAGAAACCAGAGGTCACAATGACTAAAATGAACATGTAGCTTTTATATTTACTGTGCAAAATGAGCAGTGAACTTACACATGTCTTCAGAGTTTTATATAAAATGCTGATGATGGTAAAATAGTGATAAATTTGAAATAAATATGCTTTCTTTAAATACTATTTTGCTTCACAATACCCTGCATGTATTAAAAACACAAAAGTGTTTTAGGCCCAATCCTCATCTCAAAACGATGTAAAATAATGTCTCAAGCATCAGGCAGCATATTCATAACCATTTCATCTAGTACCTTTCCTTAGAGAAATGCTTCAGTCATATGGTTTATATTACTCTGAATGACTTTGTTTATTAAATCTTATCAATGTAATCATGCACAAATAAAAAATCAGCGTTTAAGTATATCTCAAATAACTGCAGTTGATCTTTGTAAATTGCTGCTAATCATAAAGAGGAAGGCTCCAGCTCATGTAAATAAAGACCATCTGCTTTCTTCCACAATAGCAATGGATAATGCTGCATACTGCAGTCTTTGTTACATTGTCAGAAAATTGACCAGTGTTGATCAAGTATCAAGTAGTTTATTGACAAACATGCAGACGGCTGGAAATGTTGCAAAAAATTTATTAAATGCCCATGTAATGGAAAACTGAATTTCCTTCACTTTTTTGAATAAAAGCGTTTGCTGTACTATACACACTATAAATATTGTTAAAGATTAAAACCATACCATTCACTCCCCATTCAAAGAGAGTGCAAAAAGGCTGTTCATGCAGTCCATATAAGGAAACTAAGCTGCAAAAACAGCCTGTTTTGATTTAATTGCTTTTGTAACATCACAAAAACGAATGCTTTGGATGATATCCACCTATTCAGCCTACAGCAGTTTAGCCCCACCCATTCATTCTGAAGTTATAAGAAGTGTTTCAGCCTGGAATACTTGTTGAATGAGGCTAAATGCAGGGTGTCCAATCAGAACAGAGGTAACTTATGTTAACAGCAGGTTTTGAAGGGGGTGGTCCTTTGTTAGCAGCATAATTGTCGCAATCCAGCACCAAGGGTGCAAGTTGTCCCCATACATGTATTCCCATTATAAGATCATATCTGGCCTAGTGAGACTAAAGTGTTTTAAATCTCCCTGATTCCAAAAGAGATCCAACATCTCATATTTGGCCTAAAACTTTTTGACTGAAATGAATGTCACTACTCAAGCCATGAGGGAAATAAGCTCCCACCGGTTTACCGTAGATGGCAAAAATCAAAGAAGAAAGCGAGACAGTAATTAGTGTGTGCCTGAGGGGGTTTCATCAGTAACCATCTATCAGGCACCCTGAGGATCATGTGAAATGAGCTTAACAGATCAGAAGAGCAGGAGACTGCCAGACATTCTGCATCAAATTCACCAATGGAGTGCTGAATCTCAGACTGAGCAACAAGCAATCAAAACAAGCAGCAATTCCACACAGTCACCCAGCAATTTAAGAGTCATGAACTGCTTATACACAGCGCAGATATGCTGAAGACTCAATCATCAAATTACAGCTTATCCTGATCCACATATGGAGCCATGTTGGCACAGGGGCTGGTGCGGACCCCTTGTGAGTCATCAGTGTTTAAAGAAGCTGTTCTACATCCAAACAGCGTGGGACATAAACTGAACGGGAAGCGTTTAATGAGGCCAAGCTTTATCTGTGTTTGTTTCCATATTGCAGATAATGCCTCTACACAAACACATGCTCGCACACACATACCGGAACTGCAATAAAAGTGTCAAACTGTGTCTTACGAGGGCAGGCTTTTCTTGTGTTTCTACAGTGAAGATAATACCCCTACACAAACACATATCCACAGACATGCCGGAACTGTGTATCTGCAATAAAAGTGTCAAACTGTGTACATCCCCTTTCCAAACACCCACTCCGCTCTCAAAACTGCAGCCTCCTCCACAGA